AAAGTGAAATTTACTGTCTATCATTGTAAATATTGGAAAATCAAGGCAATACTTAATTAAAACATTATTGATTCTCTCTTTATCAAATGAGACAAAGGGGAACGAGTTTTAAGTGATATAACTAAGCCCAGACTGCCACCGTCATTTTGGATCTCCGCCTGGGTAGATTTTGGTCACTTGCTAGGCAACGTATTATCAAGAATAAGATAGATTTTCATTCAGGCCTATTTATCAATTTTGTGGTGTATAACTTTCGCATTTTAGTACGTAATATTTATTTTAAATCTTCAAATTGTCTTGAAACTTAAAAGAAAACTGTTCTTGAAAACTTCACTGAAAATCGGTAGCCAAAATCATTTGTTTAGATGTTATTTGATTTTCGTGTTAACCTGTAATTTCGTCATTCGCCGGCATCTTTTGTTTCTTCACACAGAAAAAACACATGATACGAAATGTAATGATCGAATTTGTCTCCAATCTCATGCCATAACAGAAAAAGCTTTTGAATACCTGTAAACTCCGAGCGCGTCGGAGTAAGTGATATTTTTAAAGAATCTTCGGATTGTTTTCAAGTTCAAGGATTGTAAATTATAATTTTACGACAAACGAAGGTTGTTCTCTTATTTCAGTGTGAATCCTCGCACGCCTGCCAGTCGCTGGCGCCGCTTGTTGAAACTAAAACGAAAAAAATTAGCTCTTTTAAGATTATCATTGGCTTCTCTTTCACCCACCACTATTCTTAGCAACAAAGGTCTCCATTTCGTTTGTTTATTAATCGCCAAAAACTATCAAATGCACTCAAAAGCCTAAGATCGAAAAAAAGGTTTACAGGAATCGACCAATCGAGCGAGCGAGCGAGCGAGCGCCATTCTCCACATCATATCTACAACACACTCTTGCGCATGTGCGAGTTAAAAACGAAAAATAAACAGAAAAAAGCGAAGGCCAGGATCCTAGTCTGCAGTTTTCGAGCCAATGTGTCAGGTTTTTGATACTGCATAGATGGAATGGAGTTAAGACGACGGATAGAGTAGTATTTTTATCTGGGATATGAAAACCAGGTCATTTTACCTTCTTAAGCAGTTGACATGGCACCACAATGAGACTAGCGACTCTAGAGCGCCGGACGACATCGTGACTACGGTCTTAGCAGAAACCATGCAGAGGTGACGACTAACAACTAAGGGAAATACAACAGAGCGTGATATCCGGGCCAGGGGAACCTAACGGACATAAAGCAATGCGGCACACCTTAAGGATAAATCATCGAGTATACTTTCTCAGGAATAGGGTTGCAATTCTTCTTCGAGGACTAAAGCCAGCAACGACAAAGTAGTAGGTAAACGATGCGAAAATATGCTAGCTATGGTCCGAATTACTGTTGGCATGTCGATTGTAAGAGTTAGTGAAATCAGCCAACTGTGTTTTTTCCACACTCTCTACAGAACATGGCGGACTGTCGGGAACCGAAAGACATGAAAATTGGCGTGAAACTTATTCCCGCATAAGTTTCTCTTATCATTTGCGTTTTCCTTTTTTTTAGGCGTGTTTTCTGTTTTTCATTTGCATTTTCTTTTTATTATATGCGCTTTCTTTATTTCTAGTTGCGTTTTCTAAACAAGGGGATCTACACTATAATAACTGAGTAAAACAAGCAATCTACTTAAGGGGGTAGGGGAGGGGAGGGTAGCAAACACGAGCGTAACGAGCGATTAGTTTTAGTTTTATTCTGATTGACTGAGAGGGAGGCGTGAATTTACGGGACATCTACACACACATGTCCAATACACTCGGCCTGAGTCGGGTTGTCTTCACCAGCAGGCGGATTGAGTCTGATTGCGACCGGAACCGGAAATGAGCGCAAGGCGCTTGATCAGTGGTTTCCCTTGAGGAGTTCTCCTGAATTCTTAATATCCGGAAGTAAGAGGTTAACAGGAGCGAGGGAGGTTGAAGATGTTGGCAAACAGACTCGATCGGATCCGATGGAGACAATTCGTCCTGGCAAGAGTCGATCGGACGCCCCGGAGGTCAGTTGGCGAGAGATAGAGAAAGTACCTCTCAGCCA